GCTCACTTAGTCCCTTCAGAATCTCCCATGTCAAGTGATCTCTCGGATGAAGAAGTATTTTGTGCAGTACTAGCTCGGCCATGGGAGATGTATTTCGACGGAGCATTCCAGTCTGATAGAGGGGGTGCCGGAGTTATGTTCCTGACTCCTGATGGTGGAATGATTCCTCTATCCTTCTCACTTGCAGAGGCATTTTCTCATAATGAAGCTGAATATCAAGCCCTCATAATCAGACTGGAGATCGCCCAAGAGCTAGACCTGGAACAACTAAACATATTCGACGAATTGAACTGGTTATCCGGTAGCTTAAGGGGATTTATGACATGAGGAAGGGATACTCTTAAGCCTTATCACGGCACGACCAAATCTTATATGGCCCAAATCAATGATTTCCCTTTGAGCCATATCCCTAGGAAGCTGAAGTCGCAGGTCGATGCTTTCTCAAAGCTCGGGGCCACCATTCAACTATCTTCACCAGGGCCCACTCCTGTCTGGGTAACAAAATGGAGACATGTCGACTTGAGAACCGAAGTTGATGTAGATGACGAGAGAGAGGACTTCCTTGAATGCTCGCCTTACCCATTCGGAGCACTGCTTGCATCCAAAGATGTCATTAAGGTAGAGCAGGAAATGTCCCGAGGTAAAGAATCTAAGGTTGAGAAACGAGAGCCTCAATTCTTCGACTCAATGTGTGCAGAGGTTGAAAAAGTGGAAGACTGGAGGGAGCCTATCATGGACTTCATAAAGAATGGAAGGCTACCTCAGGATAGGGCGGAACGCAACGGCATATGGCAGATGTCAACTAAGTACACCCTTCGCGATGGGGATGATCTCTTTCGTCGATCATTTGACGAAATTCTCCTCAGATGCGTCAATCCCAAGAAGCAAGCAAAGTACTCGAAGAAGTGCATTCGGGTATATGCTGGCAGCATCAGTCCGGCCCAAAGCTACGAGCGCATATGCAGACTCAGCTATTAGTGGCCTTCAATGGTGGTTGACGCCCAAAACTATGCTAAAAGATGCCTGGTGTGCCAAATTCACTCAAGTCTCATTCATCAGCCCATGGCCCTTTTCCCAATGGGGTATGGATATTGTAGGACCCATCGACCCTCCTTTGGCCTTGGGTCATGCCTTCATTCTAGCAGCATCAGATTACTTTTCCAAATGGTATGAAGCAGTCCCTCTCAAGCAAGCTTCGAGGACCACTGTGGTCAACTTCGTGCGTCACCACATCATATACCAGTTCAGGGTTCTGGACCAAATAATCTCTAATAATGGCCCTCAGTTCAGAAGCCATCACATTGATCGCCTAGTCAACCAATTCGGCTTCGAGCGGAAATACTCGACCATGTACTGCCCTCAAGCTAAAGGTTTAGCTGAGGCGTTCAACAAAACCCTGTGTGAGGTGCTCCGGAAGTCAGTTTCAAAGTCAAGGAAGAATTGGCATGAGAAGCTGCCTGAGGCTCTGTGGGCCTATCGCACCACCACTCGCAATGCTACAAACTCTACCCCTTATTTCTTAGTCTATGGAAGTGAGGCGGTTTTACTCCTCGAAGTTCAAATACCTTCACTCCATGTCGCTATACATCAGAGAGTAATTGAAAATGAGAGGGTCAAGCTCTGCTATCAGGAGTGGGATGCCCTTGACGAAAAGAGACTGAAGGCCCAGCAGAACCACGAGCTCAAAAAAGGAAGAATGAAGAGAGCCTTTGACAAGTCTATCAAGGTTCGCTCATTTGCTCATGGGGACCTAGTCTTAATAATCAAGAGATTGATTGTCGTGCATGGGTGCCGCAAAGGAAATTCGAACCTAAGTGGGAAAGTCCATTCATAGTCAATAAGGCCACACAAAATGGGGCCTATATACTTGTAAACTCTGATGGAGAAGTGGCGATGCCCCCTATCAACAGGTAGTATTTAAAGAAGTATTATCCTTGACATATCTTTAAAACACGGTGCGTGCAGTAAAAAGAAAGAAATAAAGATGAGGAACATTAAGCCGACTCAAAGGAAATTCATTTCTATTATTGCAGTAGAAAAAGGTGCAAGATACAATCAAAAGCCCATTATTAGGGAGGTTACAAAGCTCTTGCATCTGAGGATAAGAGGACGATTACAAGTTAAAACCTGCAGTACAAAACTCTTGCATCTGAGGATAAGAGGACTGTTACAGGCCAAAAAAGAACACCCTCTTCATGAAGAAGAAGCAAAACCATTCGAAAGTCAGCTTCAATTCATCTGTTGAGTGTTCTCAAAGAGGATGGTTACAGGCCAAAAGAGGAAGCCGACCATTTTGGAGTCTACTTTAATCCATCTGGCATATAAAGTAGACTTCTCTGGCAAGGAGCTGTCCCATGATGGATTCCCTTCCTCCAAAACAACACGGACTTCACTGTTGTGCTGGAGAACTTGGCTTCTAACAGACCACAGTAACCAGGCCTTCTCATTTGCCATCACTCTTGGCCCCCACAAGGCATCTCCATCCATGGTCATCGCCACGCGCAACTTATTGTTGTGCGTGATCATCGTCGCGTGTGACTTAACGCCGTAGGTGGCCACTACCGTGCGCAACTCAACGTCATCTGCTACCATCATAACGGGTAGGGAAACGTCGTGCAAGACCATTGCTGTGAACGGCATGGTCTCAAGCATGGTTATCACTGTGCGCAGCCTAGAGACGCATGAAGGCAACGTTGCATGCGACTTAATATTGCGCATGCCCACGAGGGACCCCGGTTCCCACTGCATCCAATTCCCGGGAGGCATTAACTCTCATGCCTCTTTGATTTCCCCAACCCTTTCTCCTCGCCGACAATCCACCTTCTCACGACCTTTCATGTTCCCGCAACCTTTTGGGTTCTCAGCGATGCTTCCTCTTCTCGTTGGGAATTCACTTCTGTTCACCCTTCCCCACCTTCTACTTGTTACCGGAGTTGGCAAAAAAACACCAGAATTCCTTTGGAAGCTTCCCTGAGACGCTGCGGGTTTCCCTTCTCCGTTCTTCACACCCCGCAACTCACTAGAATTTCATTATTCTTTCGGTGGGCCCACTGTTACTCCTCCTTTTTCGATAACTAGAGGACCGTCTGAGCCCCCTGACCCTTTTGAAAATTGGCCACAATCGTGGAGCTACTGGAAGAGTACTAGAAATTTGGCAGTATACCACTGCAACCCTTGCGATTTCACACAAAGTCTGCCAAGAAGTCCCTACGCATGCTAGAAATAGCTTCAATGCCTGCCGTTCCTCACCTGAAAGGTCTCGATGAAATCTCTTAGAAGCCCTCTTCCCTACTCAGAAAGGCTTGACACTCTCCGAAAATACTCGCAAGCACGTTACAAAGGCCATAACTTGCTCAAGCTCTCCAGAAAGCTCTTAAAGGCCTGGGTACTACAGATTTTGTCAAGGAAAACTCTAGCCAGGAAACTTTTGACGAAAGCTCATGTTCTTTCTCTCTCTCTCTAAAAACAAAATCTCTTCAACTGTGTTACCCTTTAGTAAAATCGTGAAATGGGGTTTTTTCCCCGGTTTTTATACTCAGCACTGTTGCAAACTGCCCCTCACAAAATTTAAATGACGATCCAGTCCCCAGCTGCTGACGGCGACAAGACCAAGTTGGCGTGCGTCAAGCTCGAGACCTGAAATGACTATCGTTGCACTCTTCGCCTAGAGGTTATTGCCGCATGCCTCGTCAAGGAGCTATCATCGTGCGCCTCGACAAGGAGATATCGTTGCACGCCGCGTCAAGGAGCTATCACCGTGCGCCTCTGCAAGGAGTTATCGCTGCACGCCTCGGCAAGGAGCTATTGTTGCATGCCTCATCAAGGCGCTATCGCCGCATGCTTTGTCATGGATTTAACGTCGCGTGCCTCACCAAGTGGTTAACGCCCTGTGCTTCACTCATGGTCTAGTGCAGCATGTGCCATCTAAGACTTAGTGTCATGCCCATGCCATGGTACTCCCATCCGGACCATCATCCGACCTCCTTAGGAAGTTCATTCCCTGCACCACAGTTTTACTCCTCAGGGAGTCGAGTCCCCAATAACCACTCTACTCCCTCTAGAGTCACATTCTCCCCACACAATAGTCCTAGATTCATGACCTTAAATTGCATAGCCTTGGTCTGTGCTGCATGACCTTAAACTGCATAGCCTTGATCTGTGCTGCATGACCTTAAACTTCATAGCCTTAGTCCTAGCTACATGAGCTTAAACTGCATAGCCTTGGATTGTGCTGCATGACCTTAAACTGCATAGCCTTGGTCCATGCTGCATGACCTTAAACTGCATAGCCTTGGTCCATGCTGCATGATCTTAAACTGCATAGCTTTGGTCTGTGCTGCATGATCTTAAAGTGCATAGCGTTGCTCTGTGCTGCATGACCTTAAACTGCATAGCCTTGGTCTATGCTGCACGATCTTAAACTACATAGCCTTGGTCCTGCTACATGACCTTAAACTGCATAGAGTTGGTTCGTGCTGCATGACCTTAAACTGCATAGCATTGGTCCGTACTGCATGACCTCAAACTGCATAGCCATGGTCCAAACTTTATGTCCCTAAACTATAGCGGAGGTCTAGTTGCTCGACCTTAAACTGCATGGTCCTCGTTGCACGACTCTAAACTGCACGACCATGGTTTAGCTGTATGACCTTAAACTATAGTGCACGTCCTAGTCGCATGATGTTAAAAGGCTTAGCACCATGGTCGAAACTACATGACCTTAAACAGTAGCGAAGGTCTAGTTGCATGACCTTTGTCACGACCTCTCCCCTGACCACCGTACCTTATGCAGCAATGGTCGATCAAACGTGGATTTGTGATTCAATATAATGTTTGTCACTCAAGTGGGAATGGACTCAACATCTTTATATTCAGAAATCGAGCAAACCATGGAAGAGAACTAAAGCAACAAACTTAACTAGCAGAAGGGTAATGAAAGATTACATACACCAACATCCATAATATAGAAATCTTCAAAGATATTACATTCAGTTCAGGGCATCAAGGCCCGATGTTACACATATCAACATAGAGTAAAAACCAAGGCGAAACAGCTTAGACATAGACAAGGTCCAACCACATTCTTCAAGAAGACTAGCTTCGTACTTTGGCCGTAAAACACGAACTCCTAGGCTTGCACCTGTCGCTATCAATCTACAAGGAGAGGGAAAAATAATAATGGGATGCGCTATATAGCCCAATAAGTAGGTCTAGTGTTATGTATCTATAACGATTCTATCCATGTGTGATAACAGTTTAGTTCATTAATGTATAGAGTCATAGTTTGGCATATTTGAATATCAGGTCAAGATAGCAAGTATGAATATTTCATTTAAACGGCAGTCATCACTAAATCAGTGCGATCAGAGCATTCAATTAGTGAAATCATAAATCAATCCATCATTATAATGCTAAACATTCCTTATATAGAAATTCAATTATTACTCACGCACTCCTTAAATCACCTAGTCCCGCAGTAGAGGCCCTATCCATCAAGCTAAGCCAATCCCATTGCTTAGGACCTCTACCATCTTACAGGAGGGAGGATAATGACAAGTGGGTTAATCCACTTAGTAATACCCTCAACACACGCACATGGTCCTCAGCACGCATTGGGGGTTCGATAGGCCCTTATCTTGCAAGGCATCAATCATTTCATTTCACAAATCTAGGGTACGACCCTCTATCCTCTCCCTTAACGCGTTCCTATCATTATTCAGGTTAGGGGATATACTGACATCTCTTTCTATACTACCGATAAGTGTCTCATCACATAACAAGCATTATCATAGCAGTATCCACTACCAGTGAGTGTCCCACCACGTAGTGGTCAATATCAACATAAGCATTGCCCGTTTATCACAGTATTGCAAACATAAAAATTTGATCTAATACACAGTTCTTTACAAGAGCAGTGATTTGAAGGAATTTGGGTGTCATTTGATGGGTCAATAGCTCAGTACAAAGTGAGCATTAGTTGCTGGAAATCTTCCCTGCAACAGTGCGCAACAACATAGTCGCGCATTTCTGGTCATAATTCAAAATCTGTGGGGAATTTCAAAAACTTCAAAACATGCAACCTTGAGTACATTCATAGACCTTTCCAATGGCAATAATTTCGAGGTTTTTGGAAATTGTTAACTAGGCGTTGGAATTTACAACGACTGTACAAACATGTCTCGGTATCTTAAGCTATATCTTCTAATATGTACGGGATCTTATCACGCCATAAAAAGAAAACTTGAAGTAGACATACATGCTTTATATTTGACACTGATTGAGACCAATTTGGACACCATTTGGTCATTGAACATATAGATGCAAAAACATTCACAGTTCTGGAAATTCATATTGTCAAAGTTAAAGCGCACTTAATATTTTATGTTAGCAAGCCTCACAATGAGCAATTTCAGGAGCTGCATGAATAACAAAATCATCCATGCATGGTTAAAGTAGTCATGGCATTTAGAAGCATAACTCTAAAGTTTCAAACCTCATGTCACCCATTCATACTTCACGTTTTCCTTTATATCATTTAATCCATTTCAATATTTTTACAACAGTCATGGATGCATAAAAACTAGACCCACTTACCTTGACTCTCATGGTGTCTTCAATCTCCTTCAACAGCTTACTTTGGCTTTCCCACACCTTCACCCATTGGCGGTCTTCAAGGGGTGACAGCGAGCTCCAAAGTTGATAAAATGGGGAAGACGGCGTTACACAGGGAAGGAAAAGGGTTTTAAAAGGAGGGGGTGGTTGGAAAGAACTGTGGCTAACGCCATCACTCATGGATCAGACACGTACGAAGCGACGCTGACATGTACGGAGGCTGTACATTTGACCAAGACACTCTCGGCATTGCTCTTTCTTGCTTCTCTTTTCCAGAGGGCGTTGGGTCATAGCCGGCGCTAGGCCTTGCATTCACAGACGGTGATGGCTTCTCTTACACAGCCGGCATTGTGTCTTCCTCTTTCTCACCCGGCGCTGCGTCTTCCTCTTACTCAACCGACATTGCAATTTCAAACACTCAACCGGCACTGTGCTTTCAAACACGTAGCCAGCGCTGCACTTTCAAACACCCAGCCGCGGCTGGTCTTTCAAACATCTAGTCGGCGCTGCACTTTCAAACACCCAGTCGGCGCTGCGCTTTCAAACATCCAGCCAGTGCTGCACTTTCAAACACCCAGCTGGCACTGCGATTTCAAGCACTCAGCTGTAGCTGCACTTTCAAACACCCAGTTGGAGCTGCGCTTTCAATCACCCAGTCGGCGCTGTGTTTTCCTCTTACTCTGCTCCTTTGTTACTGATGGCATTAAGCTCCTACGCGCAACAATGCCTTAGACGACAATACACCCGTGGATGATATGCTTGCGGCAATACTCCATACGCCTTTCGCTCGTGGCGATAATCCATACGCCTTCGCGCTCGACATTACATCTCTCTTCTCACGTGGTAGTACTGGATTGGGAGAAAATTGTGGCCCTTACAACCTTAAACTGCATGGTCCTAGCTGCATGAATTTAAAGTGCATAGCCATAGTCCAAGCTACAAGACCTTAAAAGTGTAATGCATGTCCCTGTAGCAAGACAATAAACGACACGACAAATAGTCCATACACATGACTCTAAACTGTGAAATGGGCGCACCTTTTTACCAGGTGTATTCCGTCAACATCCCTAGTGAATTTAGGCATATTCTATCAACATCCCCAGTGAAGTTAGGTGTAGCAAAAAGAAAAAAAGGGTCACCTTACCTTGATGGGTCTCTTTCACACCAACATCTTCAATAGAAGTCACATCCGTGCCACAACCCATTATCTCCACAAGATCATTCTTATATTTTCAACCCCCAGTGGGGTTGCATCTGCACTCTGGCCTGTCATCCTCAGCAGAGTTACATCCATACCATTACTCACCATCCCCGGGGAGGCCCACTTGCCGTCCTAATCCCCAGTGGAGTTCACTTCTGTTTGCCCGTCCTCGCAGGGCCATCATCTTCATCTAAAGATTTCTGCTTGTTTATAGCCTTAACTATGTTTATCCCTAGGGAGTCAGATTGTTATCCATGTACCTATCCTCGATGTTGCTTCACCTACATGGCAATCCACACAATAGTCCTAGCTGCATGACTTTAAACTGCATAGCCACAGTCCACACTATATGACCTTAAACGGTAGCGGAGTTCTAATTGCATGACCTTAAACTGCATGGTCCTAGTTGCATGACTTTATACTGCAAAACCACGGTCCAAGTTATATGACCTTAAACCATAGTGCACGTCCTGGCCGCATGACATTAAACTGCTTTGCCCAGGTCCTAGAGGCAGGACCTTAAACATGCCCTCACATATGAGCACACCCCCTTTACATGCATCTTCACGCACGCCTTTCCTAACCAACCCATCTATGTGCATACACCACCTTCAGCGCTTCGCCAGTAAACCCATTCACTTCACAACCACTATTCATCATTCCTCAGTGAGTCTCACCCATGTTCACAAAATGGCGAACCATCGTGCCATCTATACTCATCATCAGCTAGTGGGTCACCATTTTTCACTCACCATTCGTACATCATCCATCTTTCATAGGTAGCCTCATGTCATCTCCCCAAGGTGAGTCAAAACCACTATCATACTCACTCCATGGTCACTGCAGACTGCCATCCATCTCCACTACGATCCAGCTGTATGACCCTAAACCATAGTGCACGTCCTAGCCGCATGATGTTAAAAGGCTTCACACAAGTCTCGAAGGCATGACCCTAAACACGCCTGCACAAAAACAATGGGCATCGTGTACACTTGGACAAGGGAACGCCACGAGTAAAATGATAGATGGACATGGTTACGAGACCATGAATAAAATATTTCTATGAAACAAAAACCCAGGCACAGTGAAAACCCCAAAAGGGTACCGTGAGCAAACAAGGATGAAAAGGGTGGACATGGCTGCAAGGTCATGGGTAAAAGAGCCCAAAAATAAAGGAAGTTGGTGAAACCATCTTTACAGCTCCACTTCCCCTGTTCACGTGAAAACCCGCAAATGGTGCTTGGAATAACAAAAGCAGGTTGGCGCAGCACCACAGTCTCAGGCGGCACCCAATTTCCAAAACAAGCATAATTTTGGCTAATGAGGTCTACACAAAATCCTCAACTACCAGCATCCAATCACAACGTAAAATGACACATCCGAGAGTGAGAGCCTCATAAGATCTCCCACAATTCACCTCCAAAAACAACAAGAGTCCTTGAGGGTGAGGGTTAGGATGATGACCAAAAGATCCCTCCAAAATGTTAACGAAGGCAAGAAATTGACAATGTCAGGATCTAATCTGCCGGAGACTTTAGGGTTATTCCTTGCCATGAGGTCGCCTCGCTAAAAACCTTCTTTATTCGACAGGCCCAGATCTTCCAGACAGGTCAGAAGCCGTCGACGGGACCCAGTAGGATGGGACCCACGAGGCTGCCTCACCAAAATTCCCCCTAGCGATAGGCCCAGATCTTCGGGACAGGTCAGAAGCCCCCAACTAGACCCCGCTGGATGAGACCTACAGAGATGCTCGGATCATCAAAAGAAAACCTGGTGTAACAACCAATAATGCTGACTAGAGCTTCGTAGTACTTGGCTGCTAGATAGGCCCGATTCTGACCAATGAGGTCCCTACAAAATCCTCAAGCTGTCAGAATCGCAAATAGTCCCTTGAGGGTGAGGACTTCTATAGATCCCTCAAAAGTCTCTTCTCCCCCTAAGTCTCCATGGATGGACTTGTACATTGCATTCAAATGTATGAGAATCCCAGTTACAGCATTGTATGGATCTCTTCGACGTTCACATAGACTTGTGGCTAGCAGAGGGAAATTTCCCAAATGATTGTACTTATCACTTCTCTGAAGCATAAAATTCAATGGGGCATGCTCTTGGAAGTCATTTTTCATCAATATAGGTCCCCGGTCAATAAATCCTAACATACAGTGGAAATTTTGACAGTCTCAGAATGCCCCCAGAACTGGACAAGATCTTCATGAGGACTCTTGAGAGTCTCTTACCAAGTTTCTTCGCATTCCGACCTGCCTAAGGCAATGCAAACTGATAAACAGTTTCGAAAGAATAAGCCTCTAACACCTTGAAGCATATCTTATAACTAGAACTA